TCCCCAAGGAGGACAAGAGAGCCCTCCGTGAGGTGTTCCAGAAGTACGACATTCGCGGTTGCTTCAACCTTGCCAAGACCCGTGGCAAGACCCTCCTGGACGAAGACTATGTCATGAGACGTAACGCGGTCGACTTCGGTGTTCCTCTCTTCATGGAGACCAAGGTATGTAGCAGTCCATTTCCTTTAACCATGTACGCGGGTCACGTTTACTAATCATCTATACCAGACCGCTCTGCTCTTCGCTCAGGCCATGAACGCTAAGCTGCCCCGTGCCGACGGCATTCCCCCTGAGGTCCGCAGCTGGTCAGAGTTCACTGGCCACAAGCTGATGTAAATCCGAATATCGACGATCTCATCAAAACTATGAAAAAGGGGAAAAAGTCATGTTCTATTCATAGATCTAATCGGTTTGGCTTATGTTCTCTTTTCAGGCAAACAAAAAGCCCGTCCTGTTTGGCGTAGAGGATCCGGCTTCGTGTTGATAGAATTTGTGGTCTTGGTCTGGACCTGGTATGAGGATCATGGCCATGCTGCGGTGTTCCATATTCTCTTTCTTGCGGCTTTGTTATATCTACATGGTTTTTGAGTAGGCAGGCTATGTGCTGAGCGAAAAGAATCTGATTTGTATTTTACTTTCATTCATTACCTAGCTTGATCAGCCTGTATGTGATGATTCAAGATGTATGTATTCTTAAGTATTTCGGCTATCTCAATACCAACACTTCAATGACTTTCATCAATGTACCCCAATGAGAACACGTGATATCGGTTCCGGTTGATTCTGTTTTGCTCATATTTGACTATAAGTGGGCACATATCATTAGAGCATCACAGAATAGAAACCACAAGAATTGGATCCTGAGAAAGAATCATCGATTGAAATGCTCTAGGTTACAAAAACTAGAAGTCTCGCCGAATGATATGACATACCATCATAATGGCCTTTGGATCTCAAATCTACGGAGTGAAGTCTGAGTAACTGGAACAATCCACAACTTGTGACGAACATCAGACGACCTAGAAATGGCATCTATAACGGACTTACAGCGGGGCAGCCGCAAAGTCCCTGAAGACATGCTAAACGAGGATATTCTCACGCGTCTACTCGACCAGACCATCACCAACACGGATCCCCACCAGGACAATGAGAACATCACAGAAGGGGGTTTTGAGAACCCTATTCCTTCAGTCTACACCAGAGGCTATCCTGCCCCGTCGCCGGGTGCCGGAACGGGGATTTTTGCTGCGACGGACATCCCGGTCGGAGGGACCATCATGCTCATCCGGAGGCCGTTCGTGGCAGTCTTGGATACTGAGCGGTTGCAAGACACCTGCTCTGGATGCCTTGGGCAGCATCATTGCAACAGAGATGTCAACGTCGAGTTGAAAGCTTGCACGGGGTGCAGGGTTGTGAAGTATTGTAATAAGGTTAGTTGAAACCCACCACCTACCTTTATGCTGAGCTCGCGTCACCACTAACTGGAATAGACCTGCCAAGCGAAAGACTGGAAGTTCGCTCACTCGTTCGAATGCCGGATTTACAAGGAGTTGATGCCCCGAGTACTTCCCAGCAATGCCAGGGCTATTCTTCGGATGGTCCTGCGTAGTGAACGCGGCAAGTATCCAAAGGAGGAGCTGGAGCTCTTCCGCAAACTGGAGAGTCATATGGCAGAGATCCAAGCGCAGAACTGGGAACAGTGGCAGCGGATATCCCTGACGGCAAAGGCCGTCAAGAAATACTCTGAATGCGCTATGGATGAAGAAATGATAAGTCACTATGGTGCCAAGGTGAGTTTGGCTGCACCTTGCTTTCTTTTTCTGTGTCAGTGTTCCGACGAAAGCTGACTTGATTATCTTCCAAAGCTGGAATTAAACTCGTACAACTTCCACAGTCCCTTGGCTGACCGTCTGGGGTTCTACCTGCACCCATACGCGGCTCTGATCAACCACAGCTGCGACTACAATTCCGTCGTTGGCTCGGATGGCGACGCCCTCTACGTCAAAGCCCTTCGCCCTATCCAAAAAGGCGAAGAAATACTCGTATCATACATCGACGCCACGAACCCGTATAAAACCCGCCAGAAAGAGCTCTCAGAGCGATACTACTTCAAATGCCGATGTCCCAAGTGCGCAAAAGGTACAAGCACACGCGAAGATCGCTTCCTCGGCGAACCGCACGACCTCTCTGTCCTGGAAGACGCCGAGAGCGCCGCAATGAGTGTGCTAAGACGGGTCGGTAGTTCGCGGCTGAGCCCATCAGAGGCCGCCGGTGAGATCAAACGAGCCATGAAGGACCTACACAGAACCTCTGCGTGGCCGATTACCCGCCAGCCGATGGTCGCGCTGCGAGACGAGCTGATCACATGTCTTCTCTCAGAGGACGAACCCTACGAGGCACTTGTGCACGCCGCGATCCGCTTCCGGCTTGTTGATCCTGTTGTGTATCCTGAATCGGGGCATCCGACTCGACAGATGCACGCGTGGGTGTTTGCGATGCTCGCCAACGAGCTTATGATGCAGGGGCTGCCGTCGTTGGGCGGCAAGAAGGATTCATCTGCGGTATGCGCGGCCATCTGGCAGTCTGTTCTCTTTTATCTTATGAATGAACTCGATGCGAGTTCTGCTGTGCCGACGCTGAAGAAAATAATCAGGAGGGCGTTTGCGGAAGGGCCGCTGCAGATGTACAACCACGGCTTGAGACGGAGTCCTGGCGAGTTGATCCATTCCACGCGGGGAGCGTGGAGTGAGCTTGATGGAATTATTAATGAGGCATTGGAGAAGGAGAGGGCTTGATTCAAGAGACTGAGAGGTCAGAATTCGTCCCAGTCTTTACATTTGTGAAGCTAAATGGATGAATGGTTGAGTATCACTGATATTCCATCAACTTTGTTAAGATAGCAAAAGGAATGTAGCCAACTGGACGGATCGATAACAATTACCAGGTACTGCAGAAAAGTACAAGAGCAGCTATGCGAATGTCTACGAAACTGGTAACGGCGTGCCTACAGATATAGACGAATGAATTCGACTTCGTAAATTAGACTTCCATTCCTAACTATCCTCAGTGAAAGGAACAGGTGAAAGTCTTCCGCCTCCGCCGAAGCAGAACGGAGGGGCAGAACTTCATCATCATAAGATTGACGATCCCACTTGGTCTTTGGTTCGTTCGTGTTTCATGGCGACAAGATCTTTATATTGAGATGCAAACAGCTGACCCGCACTTGACATACAAGTTTGATGAATCCCAATGGACGCAAATGGTATCCATCCCTTTTTTGTTCTCCCAGCACATCCGTACGCCCGATCCTCCACGCAACACTCCAGAAAGCATTTCTTCTTTACTTGAGGGGAATGAAACGAGAAGAGTGGGTGGCACCGATACCGGGACGACCGTGCTTGACGGGCTTGCTGTATGGTTGTTAGAACTGATACAAAACAAGGGGGACGCAAGGTGAACATACTATGTGATGGAGAATTCACCAAGGTAGTGGCCAACCATCTCGGGCTTGACCTCAATCTGGTTGAACTCCTTTCCGGAGTAAATACCGACGACGCTGCCGATCATCTCGGGGACAATGATCATGTCACGCAGGTGGGTCTTGACGAGGTCGGGCTTCTCGTTGGGCTTGGCCTCCTGCTTGGCCTTGCGGAGCTTCTTGATCAGGCCCATGGGCTTGCGCTTAAGACCACGGTTGAACCTGCGGCGGGCGCGGGCGTGCACGACATCGCGGAGCTGTTCGGAGGAGAGGTCGAGGAGCCTGTAGTACATTCCATGTCAGACAACGGTTCCTTCATGTTTCTCCAATCTGTCCCTGTATCTCAACTCCAGACTCCGACAAGGACGACCCATGCAAAGATGGTACAGTTGATGACCTCGCTCGTTCGGAGTCGGGTGGTTGGCCGGTGACAAGGTTGGATGGATGGAAGATTGCTGAACATACTGGTCGAGGTCAATTCCGCGGTAGGTGAACTTGCGGAATTGTCTTCTCTTCTTGATCTCTGTTCGGCGAAAAGCGTCTGTCAGCGTTTCTATCCTAACCCTGGTGTGTGGTTGTCCGTGTTGTCCGTAGCCGTATCCATCCAGTCGCTCTTATGCAGAAGTCCATCTCGATTCATCAATTCTTTACAGTATTCCATCACGAAAAACCTCACAACTCCTCGCGCTCTTCTGTAGTATGATAGGGATTGGAAGAAAGGGTGACCTGTGACAACGTACCGGCAGCCTCCTCGGCGTTCTGCAAGCAAAGATTTCACATTAGCTTCCCTCGAACCAAGTATTGAAGACCATTTGTATCCTGGAATATCACTCACGTATTCGGTGTCAGCCATCTTTGCGAATGTTCCTCTCAAGGTCGCTTTCCGAACGTTACTCGAAAAGCGAAGGGAATATGGTTGTCGTGTCGTGTCTTGTCGCTGAAGGACCTTCGTCGGGGCTAGTCTTGTGCCTACGCTTCAGGTTGCGAGGTGGGCTGGAGGGCTCGTCTAAGCGACCGCACTAGGTCAAACCCTAAGCCACTAGTACTGATTGGGATCCCAGTCAGTCTCCGCTTTTGTCCTGATTTTTCAGGCATCCAGATCACTACATGATAACGTTCAAAACTTGCTTATTGAATTGAGATGTATGATTAAGACGTTGATATTGGAGAATTTTGTTGCGAGGCGGAGCTTTTTGACGATAGGATATTGTAACTCGCGTTCAACAATTTTCTCCCGCAAACACTCACTTGGTACTTATACGCTTCGATATCTTGAGCTTACATGCACAAGTCTACGTCGAACATGAACGTGAATTAGTGGAGGGTCACATAATCTGTATTGGCCTAAAAGCTCTTTCCAGCTCTTATATGCATGCTCGTAACTGCATCCGAAAAGCCTGAAGGCACACAAACTGATCGGCACCAATGGGCGAGTTTACTCCCCATACTGAAAATAACTGCCAGATTTCTGCTCCCCCACCAAATCTCACGATTTTTGCTGCGCTTGTATATATGTACGCGCTTAGTCGAAGAGACCGAAGCCCATGTCCTCGTCGGACTCCTCCTTCTCCTCCTCCTTCTCCTCAGCGGCAGGAGCGGCAGCACCACCGGCAGCGGCACCGCCAGCGGCAGGAGCAGCGGCGGCAGCACCACCGGAGGGAACGGAAGCGAGCTTGGCGGAACCCTCAGCAATGAGCTGTTGTAGTGTGCGATGTCAGCGCCAGTCCAAAATTCTCAGTCTGTAATCTTCAAGCTGTGTGTACTAACCTCCTGGAGGTCCTTGCCCTCGAGCTCAGCAATGAGCTTGTTCAGGCGCTCCTCATCGGCGTCAATGCCAACGGAAGAGAGGACGCTCTTGATATCCTCAGCGGAGGGGGAGGTGTTGCCAGCAAGGGCGAGGAGGAGGTAAGCGGCGAGGTGCTTCATTTTGAATCTGCGACGGAAATCCCCTGTTAGTGCACAGCTTGATATGGGACAATGTTAACGCCGATAGAATATCTACCAGGCCGAGAGCACGTACTGATATTATTGAGATATATCGAACACGAGAATCAATCGATTTAACCGCAAGTTGGGCGGAGACTGAGACGTCGAGTTCGCTGGGAGATTTAGCGAAGTGGTTAGAGAAAGTAAGAATTAGAGAATTGAACCATCAAAATATCGAGAAAAGTGCGGTGCGGCTGGTGGGTGTGGCTAGTGCAATCAGAACCATCTAAGCTAAGCGAGGGCCTGTGGCGCATATGTCTCCAATTAAACTTCCAAGTGACTGAGTCGTCCACGTGACTAGCTGCTTCTAGAAGAACAGGATGGCGTCTGGCAGCAACGTTACGGCTCTTCCTTTGCTGTCTCGTTCAGACGCCATCACTATGTGCTAGGTCTTGCATCGGCAACAGAGGGGTAACAACGCACATTCAATCCTGAACTCTCTCCTTTCTCTCAATCTCGCAGCTCATGAAGTCATGAGGTTAACCCGTCAAACTAACCACCGACGGTGAACCTACCCTTATCAGTGCTCCTATCTCGTTATCCAGTGACTCAGCTGCTGAAGCTCGTTCGTGTACCTCAGCGGTCACTATGAGTGTCAGTCTTCTTCCACGTTGTAGTATCTGACATGTCTAACGATTTTGACAGTTTCTTGACTCCGTTCTCTCGTCTATTGAGACGGGTAGACCAGCTCCCATCGCTCCTCCCCCTCCCGTTCGGACGCCCGCGCCACCCGTGTCGTCCTCAAATGTTAGATCTCAAGCATACAAGCCTTACAATGGACATGGTAGCAATGGTACAGGGCAGGGGAACGTTGCTGCGGGGGTGAAAAGGAAAGCAGAGGATCAGTTGCGTCGACCCCAGAAGCCTGGCTCTGAAGCATCGACCAAGCCAACGGCAAACAAACCTGTTAATGCTTCTATTGCTTCAAAGTCTCGCCCCGTCGCCACTTCGTCTTCCGCCAAGGCTACGAACGGAAATACTGCAACCGCTACTCAGAAACCGCCTCAGATCTCCTCGAAGCCCCCTCCTAAAGGATCGTATGCTGATCTCATGATGAAAGCGAAGGAACTACAGACGAAAGCTCCAACTCAAGTGGGCATGTTCAAACATCAACCGGTAACCAAGGAGAAGCTCAGCAAAGCGGAACGCAAAAGACGAGCAATGGAGGCACAGACAAAAGAGAAAGATTCACGGCTGGCCAAGAAGCCCGGCACTCTCTCTGGCGGAGCAATTGGAATCAAGTCTGGGGATGGGAAGCTTGCTAGGAAACGGGAACACGAGGAATTGACCTACAAGGGCACAGCAAGACCGTCGCAGACCCCAACGCAGCTGGAGTACCGGGGAACAGCCGGCTTGCCAAGTCGACGCAGCTCACAAGAACCGAAAGCACAGTCTCGGGCTAGTAAGCGCGCTAGAATGAATGAGTATCTGGCAACAGATGAAGAAGACGAAGGAGACGATTACGATGACTACTACTCCGCATCATCCGACATGGAAGCTGGCTACGATGATGTAGAGGAGGAAGAAGCTGCTGCATTAGCAGCTGCAAGGAAAGAGGACGAGGAGGAATTGCGCGCTGAGCTTGCAGCCAAGCAGGAAAAGCTTGAACGACGGAAGAAACTCGCAGCATTGGCTGCTAAGAGTCGATCTTGAGCTCAGCCGTTGCCTTCAGTCGGCGATCCATTATTTTTGAAAAGCAAATGTCCTAATCATATGCATACGGAGCATCAGCGAGGAATACCCCGTGGCTACATTATACATACGGACCATATTTGTTTCCTTTGTGCATATTCGCTAGTCCCTCACTCCTGGCCTAGTCTCTTCTTTTGTCATATTCGATTTCTTCATGGCGTTCACTATATTTGTGTTTCTACTTGGCATCAGCGAGCGAGCGTCAGGGTGTCGATAGAGGGTGGGTCACTCGTCTTTTTCTTACTGGCTGGTTCGATTTTAACCTGGTTTATGCGGTTTACTTGCAGAGAGCGGGCGTCATTCTTACATATTTTATCCTGCCTTTTTCTGTTCCCTGCTAGATAGATAAGACATGACATTTACTGTGGTCCATGGCCAAATGAAACCGATTCATTAACCGTTTGTACTGGGTGTTTGGAGCTATTGGTTGCCCCACTTGATAGGCGGTGACATCACTGGCCCCATTCCGGCTTGCCTCCATATTAAAGTATCACTTAGATAGAGCTCCTTCTCATCCGAAAGAGGAGTTCATCGTCCTTGGATTCATCTGTAGGACATTCCTTGGGATTTCGCAACAGACTCAAAGATGGAACCGGTACATGTATCGACCTCCTCGAAGGTCCTGTTCAAAAAAGTGCGCAAGATTGTGCCTCCTCTGCTAGAGAAGTTCCACAAAGGTATGCTCAATTGGATTAAGAACTCACAGAATCCTTTCTCTTAGAAGAACAATGACTGACGAGAAAAGGTCAACATGGACGCGTGGCTGTCATTGGAGGCTCTCTAGAGTACGTCGAATGGCTCCCTATACTACTGTTTGAGTGCAAATATTCATAATCATACAGCTACACAGGAGCTCCATACTTCTCGTCAATGGCATCAGCTCGATTAGGTATGTCCTCAAAGTAGTATAGCCGACCACTTGGTATCCGTTGACTGACTATGATGCAGGATGTGACATGGTTAGTTGAACGATGCTGCGGCTCCAATATGATGATTTCTAACTCAGTATAGAGCCATGTCATCTGTGAGAAATCTGCAGCTACGGTTTGTAACCACCCAAGTCCTAATGAGTCTTAAATGTCCGGACTGACGTAGCTTGCCAGGTTATCAAGTCCTACTCCCCGAATCTGATGGTCCATCCATTGCTTCCGAGCACCGACTCGGTTAGCAATCCCGGTAGCATTGATGCTCCCGCACTTGCCAGCCCTATTGTTTCCATGCTATCTCGGCTGCATGCGTTAGTGATTGGTCCGGGCCTAGGTCGTGATGGAGTGACTCTCAAAGTGGTCACCGAAGTTATGAGAGAGGCGCGGTCCCGCTCGATACCCTTTGTTCTAGACGCTGACGGTCTGCTTCTTGTGACGGAGGATCCCGACCTGGTCAAAGGCTACAAGGAGTGTATCTTGACACCCAATGTCAACGAATTCGGTCGATTGGCTAAGGCGTTGGGCATTGAAGTTCCCAGTCAGGCGCAGATTGCAGCTCAGACTGATGAAGGCGACAAGACCAACAAAGAATCGCAGGCTTGCGAGCAACTTTCACAGGCCTTAGGCGGTGTGACAATTATCCAAAAAGGGCCGCACGATGTGATTTCAAACGGTGTGACGACCCTGATCTCGGACCTGAAAGGAGGCTTGAAGCGCAGTGGAGGACAAGGAGATACACTCACAGGATCTCTTGGTACACTGCTGGCTTGGAGGGCTGCTTACCATAACAAATTATGGGACTCGGGCGAGCAGGAGAACCCGAAAGAAGCGCAGTCTAAACAGGATGTGTTGGCTGAGCTTGAGTCAGAGAACAAGAGAATGTCCCCGGCGACAACCCTACTACTGGTTGCATGGGCAGGCAGTGGCATTACTCGGGAATGTTCTCGACGGGCATTCAACGCCAAAGGTAGGAGCCTGCAGGCTAGCGATCTTACCGACGAAGTTTATGAAAGCTTCTTGGAGTTGATTGGGGAACCGGAGGCTTCCAGGACCCATCTGTAGGCTGTTCGCCGTCTGGGGCTTGCGCATATCCAGCCTGCGAGTCTGACAGTCATGGAACCGATAACTGACCCGAGTTTTCTTCTTCGCAATGGTAAGATCCTTTGGGGGATCAAATGACCGAGCTTTTGCCACGAAGGAAGGCGGATTTCAGTGGTTGAACCTCGAATGAACTGAGCGCGATACATAGATCTACTCTACTTCCTAAGAATAGCCAACGCTGTAGATTTCAATTGAAGAGTTCTACTTCATGCGCTTATTCGATGCATCTCTTAGATCTGACATATGAGGTGTCTTGAGTTTCTTCTCTTGACCTCGCCTATAGTTGGTTTCCATTCGCCAAGTTCCAGTATCATTGACGGCCTGAAAAGCCTACACATCTTTCTCTGCTATTCTAAGGTACCTTCCACCGCATCTCACCAAGTGCCGCTCGAAGTCTAACAGGAGATTTCGTCTATTCAATTGCTCATGTGTCCTATCCAATTTTACACTGACTACAAGACGGTTCTGCTGCTAAATATGGCCTGAACACTTCCAATCACAGATGACAACACACTCTGACCAAGCCAACTTGGATGAGGCTCCCTTGGACTCGATGACTGTTTCTGACGGGTATCTCTGCGTCTCATTTGCCGGGCTGGACTCGGTACGTCAGATGCATTTGCGGGGGAATATCGGTCACTCACCTCCATGTTCCAGATCTCGTATTGCTACTACCAATCCGAAGAAGCCATGACTTGACACACGTCCAGTCAGCTTCAGCCGGGAGGACATCCAAGCTACGACAGCTGTCACCTAAACCTGTCCGCTGTGCCATTGAGAGACATGTCTCAGAGGCCTCTCTTTGTTACCTTTTGCGCCTTCACCATCTTATGACGAGGATGTCGGAGAGAAAATGCCGTCTGGATGACTTGCGCAGGGTCTCACGGCCATCGACGGCTGTACTGCAACTTGCAGTTGCATGTTTGTGTCCATGTATGTGTCCATGTATGGGAGACTTAATCTCCTACCGAACGATGCAAAGGTATATAAAGAGGGTTAAGATACTCGATCAACCCCATCTCTTCTCAAGCATCAAGGCATCTTTCCCACGAAGCAAGCATCAAAGCACACTTCCAGCCCTACCAAACTTCCCTCAACTTCTTCTGAGCTACCTTTCAACCAATCCACAACCACAACCACCAACATGAAAAACCTCTCCATCCTCACCTCCCTCCTCCTCGCCTCCGCCTCCCTCGTCTTCTCGTCCAGCATCCCCCCAAAGTGCGGAACTTGCAACCCGCTCTCCGGCCAGAACAACTGCGACATTACCACCTCCTGCATCAACACAGGCACTCGCTTCCATTGCGCCTGCCGCGCCGGCTACAAGGCCTCGAAGGACAACCATGACGTCAGCAAGCAGTTCCGTCTGAATGTCCCCAACTACCAGTTCCTGGTCTTCACCCCCGAGAGCACCGAGTGCAACACCCTCTGTGACAACCCCTACGGTGCAAGCCCGGACCTGTGCGCTGAGGTTCCTATCCAAGACAAGTGTGCTATCTGATGGAGACTGTCGTGAGGCGAACTCATTGTGCTGAGACTGGATTATTTGCTGGGGATGAGTGTTCTGCGACTTTCATGAGATTTGCTTGTTGTGTACCTAATGTCATACAAGACTCGTATACATAACTCCCTTACTAATGTGAATACTGCTAGTCTAATCCTTGGCCTATAATCCTTGTCATATGGCTTACACTAGTAAATCAGAAGTAGTTATGCATTGTTCTTATCCCGGGAGCCTAAAATAATGTAGCATACGCCATAACACCAGTCTCCGAAATCTACCTTCGAACTGCGTAATCCAATGCTCTTGCTCATATGAGGAACAATAACCAACCCCTACCAAAACGACCGAACAGTGATCGATTAAAACCAAGGAGTTGAAGCAGACTTCAGTGATTATTTTTGCCAGTCTAAACTGCAATCGTTCGCTAGCCTATTAGATGTCCATTGCCTCATCACCGCCGAGATCCAAGAAAATGAGGCGAGTTCCGTTGTTAACGACTTGCCAAACCTGCAAAGAACAAAGACATTAGTAAGAGCCTCCGGGGAGTATTCAAGCTGACAACACGTACATTAAGCTCTTCGTATTCATCAATTGCCATTGTGAGCTGATCTTCCGTGAAGCCCTTGGCAAGAACGCGTTCTCTGATCCTTCTCATGCTAAGTTCACCCTCTTCACCGTCCCCAACTGCGGCAGCACCGCTCTCCCGCATACCGCGGATGAGGTTGTAGATCTTGCTGCTGGGGCTCTGGTCCACGCCGGACTGACCGTCATTGGCCAGTGATGCTTTGCTGACCTCGATAAGGCGCAAAGCCTCATCGACGTCCTCCCTTATGACCTCTTCGCTGAACCGAAGGCGGGCAAGGGCTTGCGAGAGACGAACGACACCAAGCAAAGTACGGGGAGTCACATGAGAGAATTGCTTCTTGCTAGCTTCGTCGCTTTTCTGCTGTTTCCTCATTCTCACGTAAGCTCCGACCATGTAATCGGAAACTGACGAGGGCACGACAGGCCGATATGTGCGCGCCTTAGCGATGTACTGACGGACTTCATTTGGCGTGAACAAAACTCCAGCATCGTCGATCTCGGGGTGTTTGTTGTGCATGTGGACGTACGCAACGTGGTTGGCCAATTCCTCATCGGCTTCCCGCTGTGGAGTGTCTAGGATGAGGAACATGACGTCGAAACGCGAGAGCAATGCGGCGGGAAGGTTGATGTTCTCTACTGGAGAGATCCGCGGGTTGTAGCGTCCATAGAGAGGGTTGGCTGCAGCCAGGATGGAAGTACGAGCGTTCAAGGTTGTTGTGATACCCGCCTTGGAAATGGAAATGGTCTGCTGTTCCATCACTTCGTGGATGGCAGTTCGATCAGCATCGTCCATCTTGTCGAATTCATCGATACAGCAGATGCCATTGTCTGCCAAAACCAGAGCTCCTCCCTCCAGCACCATTTCATCCGTTACAGGATCTCTCATAACAGCAGCCGTAAGACCGACACCACTGCTACCTCGTCCAGTAGTGTACACGCCTCGTGGAGCAACCTTGGTGATATATTTCAGCAACTGCGATTTGGCAACACCAGGATCACCCATCAGGCAGATATTGATGTCACCACGGATGTGCATGCCGTCGCCCATTTCCTTTGTCACACCTCCAATAAGCAGAAGAAGCAAGGCTTTCTTCACATCAAGATGGCCGTATATCTCGGGAGCAATGGAACGAGACAGGTACTCGTACATATTTCCAGTCTTTTGATACTGTTCAATCTTCCGGAGCGTTCGACTGTCCATCGTCAGATCATTGTAAGACTTCTTGTGATGTGTGATGTGCTGAGCTTCCAAGTATGTGTCGGTTAACAGACCGGCACGGATGGCCCTGAACCCTGTGTAAGGTGTGGGAAGGAAGATGCCGGCAACGTCAACAACATCTCCAGGGTTGAGCTGTCGTGTCAGACTTCCGTGGCAGTGAATGGTTAATGTTCGTGGAATGTGACCAACAGGAACCTGATCTGCCATTTCTTGGATCTTGACCTCCTGGAAGGGAACAAATTTCGAAGCACGAGTGGAAAGAAACAATTGTCCCTTCGAGTTGTTCTGCTTGCACTCTTCAGACAAACACTCAGTCATAGGAAGGAATTGTTTTGTGGTAACCGGCTGAAACACTTCGCATCCACACCGATCACAAGTATAGGCGTTGATCTGGACTGATGGTTTGACGTCCGAGACACGAGTTGTGATACCGCGAACCGTGATCAGACTACCCAGGTGTTCTGCTCGCACATTACGGACTGCGAGGGCCTTCGAGTCCCGGTCGCTGCTCGACCCAGATGGAGTAAGAGGCTTGAAATTGAGGGTGTATCGGCGAGTCAACTCAGGAGGAAACATCGAGGGAGCCGCAGCCGCATCCATATCGGCCTCCGCAGCCATCGCCATGGCCTCGTTTCGCTTTTCACGTTGCGACATAATGACATCGAGAACATCGTCCTTGAAGCTATAGGCTGTTAGATGGAAGCTTTCAACGAATAGACCGGTCAACATACGTGATTTCCTTCGTCTCTTTCGGCATAACAGCATCGACCGCATCGGAGAAAACATCGACGTAACGCTTAGTATTCCGTTGTATGGACTCGACGAGCTTCAAATCTGTGTCCTCCGGCAGGGATTTCTCGAACTAGTACACAGGATTAGGTACTGCCTCACAATCTCGACGTCCTGGAGTCTTACTGTAGCCAAGTCATCCAATTCAATCAGAACGTTTGACCGTTCCCGATCTGCTATGTCCTGCAGGATTTGCATGTACTTGAGCTTCGGTTCTCGACGCCCGCGGCGTGCTCTGGTCCCTTGTTGCCCGTTCTCATTTTCCACATCGTCCATGAAGTCATATTCATCGCTGGTAGCATCTCCGTCGATGTGAAGATCTTCAATCGCCTCGGTTGCAGCAGCTTCGGAAGCCGATTCGAATGTTTTGAAATGCTGTAAAAAGTCTTTGAAGGCGTTCAATTGCGCTGCATAGTCAACTGGCGGTGGGTACTGAACGAGAGCCATCGTGAGGCAATGGAGCAAGCCAATTCAATTGAGCTTGACCTGGCAAAGTAGTGCAGTTGGCGACAGCAACAGATTTCCACCGATCAGAGCAAGAAGAAATCAAGGACTCAAGTGAGGGTTGGCTGGTACCTTAGTGTACTTCATTAGTGGATCTTTGGCGCCCGCAGCTTTTTGGCGCAAAACACGTCGCGACGCGAAAGAGACGCGTTTCCATTTCTCATACTGAGCTAGGCTTATATTGTACTAGCGTAAACAGCACATGGGGCGGAGCGGAAAATGTCTCGGTCCGAAATACATCAGGCGGGCCGACTCGGCGAACGGCGCTGGCGGGCATTTGATTTGCGGAGTCAACGAAGTCCGGGGAGATGCTATCTGTCGGTTGTCGATGTTTCTCTTCCTCCAGACATCGCGAAACATCTCTCCTGATCTTATTTAACAGCGGGGCTCTGAGTATCAGCGCTGGAAGATGGCGCCCAGAAAACCCTCGAGCACAGCGGAGGTCACACTCGTGCCTTTGAAGAACTGTCTAGTGAACTTGCCTCCGTCACTTGTCTCACTGCTGGTCAATGCCAACACGGTGCGGCGCCTTCACGTGAAATCCTTGATTTTGACTTTACAAGTATCTAATATTGTTGCTAGGCTGCACAAAATGTCATAGTTGAGCTACAATATCGTCCCGCTTCGGGGAGGGCAAACAGCAACCAGGCGCAGCGATCATTTTACCTGGGATGGACGGGAATGCCGAGCAAGCGAAAGCTTGCACCCGTCGTTGGTCGAGAAGGAATTAGTAGTGGACCTACGAGGGAGCTGGACGTATCTACTGTTGAGGTAGATACCACGTTCGGAAGAGTGGTGGGCCTCTCAGAAGGGCAGAAGGTAAGCCCCTCTTGGAGATTCTGGCTACCACGGGTTTCTCACGCGCGTCCAGGTTGGGATATATATTCACCTTGATCCGCCAGTTGCCCACACCATTAATATCGAGCCATTAACTCCGGAAGATTGGGAGAGTATGCGCTATCCACCATGTGAGACTAAATGATCGCGTCCGCTGACAACACATTGCCTTTAGTTATTGAGCTTCATGCGAATTTCCTGGAGCTCAATCTCCTGTCGCAAATCCGCGCTCTCCCCAATCCTACGTTCAGCTCGGCACAGTCAGAGCACATGCATCCCCTTGCGCTGCACCTTTCCCCGACATCCACAGCTAACATCGTCATTACCTCGCTTACTCCCGCACCATCGAATACATCACCATTTGCGAAAATAGCACCTGACGCAGAAGTTATTGTTGCGCCAAAGGTACGCCCTAAATCTGCCTCCAGAGGTCCAAGGGGCGATAGCCGAAGCGTGAACGGCAGCAGCAGGAAAAGTGTCGGTGGGAGAAGCAGTGGAAGCACGGTGCGACCCAAGAGCGGCCGTGACTCGACAAGTAGAGGCGCTCTCTTTTTTCGAGGGGTGGATCGCCGCTTGGTTGAGCCGTACTTCGATGGAGAATTCGAGGATGATGCCAACGAGGGCTTCCGCGTGTGGGTCGACCCCGACATGCTTGCAACAAGTGAGCTTCGTGGGGCCAGCTGGGTCTGCATTACTGTTGTCCAACCTGCTGGATTGAAGGCGCCACCGGATCCCCAACAACAAATGAACCAAGCAGAGCAGAAGGCAAGCGAAGCAGGGGCGCCGGCGACAAAACTGGTGGTGAGGTTAGCGCCCTGGGTAGACTCGCCAGACAGTCAGCATATCGCCATGTCTACTATGCTATGCTCCGCGCTGGGCGCTGAGGGTATGGTTGGGGGCATCATTCGTGTTGAAGCAGCTCCTCCGCAGTTGCAACGGTCTATTGTCAGAACTCTTAAGATATACCCTTTCATGTCTGATTCTACTAAGAAAAAGGACGGGCTCAAATTTGGCGCAGACACTGCAGCCGCAAAAGATGCGCTGCTTGAGCGTATCAAAGTGATATATGGTAGCACGGGGACGGATAAAGGGCTGTTGTCTGGCCCTTTAACCGACGGGATGATTCTACCAAAACTCGAAAATCCAGCGGTGTCCGCGTTTGATGGCGCTATTGTCCGATTTGATCCTCCCTTGAAGAACAGTCCTGATGGCCCCAAACAGATGCTTGGATGGGTTTTGGGGTCCGAAGCGAAGTTACCGCTAGAGGTGCAAGCTGAGATTCCCAGGCCTGAGCAAGGCCAATTGTCCTTACCCACCGAGGAGCCGCTTCCCAGCAGTATTCCCGAGATGGTTGGTATCGACCAGGTTATTTCTCAGTCCCTTGAGAACTTGACTAAATCATCTTCTGTCTTGGTGACGGGCGGTCTCGGGTCAGGAAAGACAGCATTAACGCATTTGCTGGCACATCGTCTGCGAAAAGACCACTTGTTCAACGTGAAATATTTTTCTTGCCGTAAACTTGTCACTGATGAAACTCGAATCTCGAATATCAAGGAGACCCTCAATCGCTTGTTCATGTCTGCTTCTTGGTGCGCTCGTCTTGGCGGGCAGTCCGTTGTGATTCTGGACGATCTCGACAAGCTATGCCCTGTGGAAACTGAGCTGCAGGTAGGAGGAGACAATGGCCGCAGCCGTCAAAACAGCGAAGTCATCTGTTCGATGGTGCGAGAACACTGCTCAATGAACTCTTCCGTGGTGCTGTTAGCGACCGCTCAATCGAAAGAGTCGTTGAACAACGTCATCATCGGGGGCCATGTAGTCCGAGAGATCATCCACCTGAGAGCACCTGACAAGGAAGGACGGCGCAAAGTGCTTGAGAAGCTGACGAGCCATGATCGAGCCTCCAGCAGCCTCACCAATGGACATGCGCGAACGGCGAGCGCGTCCACTCAAGACTCCTGGTTAGATCCTTCGAATCCTGGCAGCCGTCCGAGCTCCGCTGGAGCAGATGGCTTTGTTCTCGCACGAGACATCGATTTTCTCGATCTGGCTGGGAAAACAGATGGATACATGCCCGGCGATCTGGTCTTGCTTGTCGCTCGGGCGCGGAATGAGGCTCTGATACGGTCCGTGCAAGATCCTCAGGCCGCTTCCAAAGCAGTCACTCTCGGTGCTGAGGACTTTGAGAACGCCATTAAAGGGTTCACGCCGGCGTCTCTGCGCAATGTCACGCTCACATCCTCTACCACAACATTCTCAGCTATTGGTGGTCTGCACGAGACCCGGAAGATGCTGCTGGAGACCTTGCAGTACCCGACCAAGTATGCGCCTATCTTCGCGCAATGTCCTCTGCGTTTGCGTTCTGGCTTGCTCCTGTACGGCTTTCCGGGATGCGGGAAGACGCTTCTGGCTAGTGCGATAGCAGGCGAATGTGGCCTGAACTTCATTAGCGTCAAGGGTCCCGAAATCCTGAACAAGTATATCGGTGCGAGTGAGAAGAGTGTGCGTGACCTGTTTGAACGAGCCCAGGCCGCCCGACCGTGCATTCTCTTCTTTGATGAATTCGACAGCATTGCTCCCAAGCGTGGCCACGACTCCACCGGCGTTACGGATCGTGTTGTCAACCAGCTTCTCACACAGATGGACGGTGCGGAAGGTCTTTCAGGCGTGTATGTTCTCGCTGCCACCTCTCGGCCTGACCTGATTGACCCTGCGTTGCTCCGGCCCGGACGATTAGACAAGTCTCTGCTCTGCGACATGCCAAGTCATTCGGATCGGGTCGATATCATTCGAGCTGTAAGTACAAAGCTTGTGATGGACGCCGAGGTTGTTGCTCGCATGGACGAAATAGCTGCAAGAACCGAGGGCTTCTCCGGAGCTGATCTACAAGCTGTCGTGTATAATGCCCACCTAGAAGCTGTCCACGATGCACTTGGCGACCATTCAGGAACAACCGACAAATCAACAACAAAGAGCAGTTCCAAGCCTACATCGAGCACAAGCAGCAAGTCATTCATCCAGTTCCTGTACTCGACGTCGGAGCAAAGAGCTGGCGGGGTCTCTCTACCGCCACCAGCTGTCGTAGCTGCCAAAATCGAAGCCATCAAGAACGCTCGACGTCGCCAACGACAGATCGAGCAGGGGACAGCTAGTGCTGCACCGACTGCAAATGGGGCTACTTCTGAAGAAGCGCCGCGTGAAGAGATCGTGGTCCGATGGGAACACATGGAACGATCCCTTTCCACCACACGCTGCTCACTCAGCGAGAATGAACGCAGGCGATTGCAAGCAATATATCGTGAGTTCGTGGAGGGACGTAATGGCGAAATGCCGAATGGTGAAGCAGGTCGGGAGATCGGTGGGCGGACGAGCCTGATGTAGATGGGTGCATATCTTTTCTTTTTCTCTTTTACAATTTCAAGACCATGTATTAGAACTACATTGCTATGTTTCAGCAGTATACATGCATAGCTAGAAAGCGATGTGTTACGATGAGACATGGAATTCTTTGACATACTCCGTGAAGTTTCCCAGAGAACGAAGGTCAAGCTTAAAGACATGAGGAAAAAAACAAGGCGAAAGGGAAAAAGAAGCACTCAGCCCCATCTCGAACCCAGGACCTTTCCCACACACGTAGAAGGTACAGAAACTCAACACCTCCAAATGAGGTCTGTAAGAATTACAAAAAAAAACTGGTAGCTTCTCTTTGATTGAGCGTGTCATCCTTAGTGCAGGGGCCATGCTAATCTTCTCTGTATCGTTTCAAATTGACCAAATGCCCGAAGGCACTTGGGAAGAGAATAAAGTGGTTTATATGCCTTCTTGGAGGGGAATCTGAGGGCTGCGATTGGCCCGCCAAGCGATGGCGGAGAACATCAAAATGCCCTGTCACACACTGTCAGTTGGGAATGCTTCACGGTTTTCAAGCAGGACGAGGCAGCGATAGTAGGATTCAAGGAGAAGTATGACGATCGACTGCACTGTCCATTTCAGGAAAGAGAGACTTGAGATTCTCTGTTTGGTAAAAGGTCGGACTAGATGCAGAGGTCTTATGGGTATTTCAAACAGTACAGTCTTGTTCTGTCAGTTGCTGAGCATGTAGATACTCCTTTTTTGGGAGGAATCTTGATAGTGATGGATAGCCAGGATTCAGGAAGTCAGAGGATTGACAGTTGGCACCCGACAGGTCATAATTCCAGTCCAATGATTGTTGCTTCCTTAGTCATCCCAAGTTCCCCACAAAACGCAACAGAATCCCCCAGGATCCCAATGCGGTAAAGCCGCAAAAGCCAAAAAGCCTATGTACCGATGCAGATACCGAGAGACCCGGTAGAATTGATGTTCTATCTACTATTAATTTGATATATTATAGAATCCAGCATTAAGACGATCAATGTTATCTAAAGCTCTTTCGGAAGACTCAAACACAGTATATCGCGGGTTTACTCAGGTCTATCAGTAACTGGTATTGATCGCCGCTGATGGCCGAAGTGGAGTGTCCGCATCTCGGGTATTGGCGTCTCAACGGCGAGGATACCGAGGCAGTGTCCGGATGTTGATTAGTAGTTCCAAGGTTATTTGTCCCTCGCCATTCACAGAGACAGTCGTCTGGTGTACCTTGTCTTTTCTGTATCTCCCGTTAAAGACTGCGACTCTTCCAGTTGGACTCCACGATTACACTCACACTCGTCCTTTTGACATTTCGAGTCATCCGGTTCTCCTCATCTCTGTCTGCACTACCCCGCATCTTCTAGTCATAATGCCCGTCTCCTCACCGTATCCTTCGATAGAAATCCCCAATATCGACCTTTGGACTTTTCTCTTTGAGAGGAAGGACAGGCCTTTTCCGGATGACAAGGGTTCGTGTATCCCTTGTTCTTTCCATGCCCGCACCTGAAACTAACTGTAAACAGTGATCTACATAGACGCCGACACAAAGCGACAATATACCTTTAAAGATGTAAGAGAGACGGCGCTCGCATTCGGCAAAGGCCTGAAGGCCGTCCTGGACTGGAAGAAGGGGGATGTGCTTGCCCTCTTCACACCCAACTGCATTGATACACCGGCTGTGATGTGGGGAACTCATTGGGCCGGGGGTGTGGTATCTCCAGCAAACCCTGCATACACCGTGGAGGAGCTGGCCTTTCAGTTGAAGAACTCTGGCGCGAAGGCTCTCATCACTCAGATAACGTTGCTACCAGTCGCCACGGCAGCTGCAAAGCAGGCAGGGATCACGGAAGACCGAATCATCCTCATCGGCGATGACCGCGACCCACAAGCCAGGTTTAAGCATTTCAGTTCGATCAGGAACATTTCGGGGGCGACCAGATACCGCAAGACCAAAATCAATCCTGCGACGGATCTAGCATTCCTGGTCTATTCGTCGGGGACTACTGGTGTCCCTAAGGGAGTCATGCTGAGTCACCGAAACATTGTCGCCAATTCCCTTCAACTTGCGGCAGGAGAGGATAAGCAGCTGAGTTGGAATGGTGGCGCAGATGGAAAGGGAGATCGAATTTTGGCTTTCCTTCCATTTTATCACATCTACGGTCAGTCCTGCGGCTGCATGGCATCTTATCATACTGACAAAGACGACAGGGTTGACATGCCTGGTCCACCAGACCATCTACCAAGGCTATGAGCTATACGTCATGCCAAAGTTCGACATCGAGAAGTGGTGCGCCCATGTGCAGAATTACCGTATCACGTTCAGCTACGTGGTTCCCCCGGTCGTACTGTTGCTCGGCAAGCATCCTACTGTCGACAAGTATGATCTGTCCAGTCTCCGTATGATGAACTCTGGTGCCGCACCACTCACGCAGGAACTTGTCGAGACTGTTTATGCACGTATCAAGACTGGTATCAAGCAGGGATACGGTCTCAGCGAGACCAGTCCAACTACCCACACACAGCCGTGGGGAGAGTGGCGCACAAGCATTGGTTCCGTGGGCAAGTTGCTCCCCAACATGGAAGCAAAGTATATGACCATGCCTGAAGACGGGTCTGAACCTCGCGAGGTGCCTGTGGGCGAGGTGGGCGAGCTGTACTTGCGCGGACCCAACGTTTTCCTGGGCTACCACAACAACCCGGAGGCGACGGCAAAGTGCCTTTCCAAGGACGGATGGTTCCAGACGGGAGACGTGGGCTACCAAGACCAGGATAACAACTTCTATATCACGGATCGCGTCAAGGAGCTCATCAAGTACAAGGGCTTCCAGGTCGCTCCGGCGGAGCTGGAAGGAATTCTGGTGGACAATGAGGCGGTCGATGATGTCGCTGTCCTTGGTGTGGAGAGCGAAGCACACGGAACAGAGGTGCCACTTGCCTACATTGTGCGAAGCGCAAAGAGCAAGAACTCGAACATCACTGCCGAAGAGGAGGCCACGAGGATCGTCCAGTGGCTGGATGCCAAGGTTGCATACCACAAGCGGTTGCGTGGGGGTGTGAGATTTGTGGACGAGATCCCCAAGAGTCCAAGTGGGAAGATCCTGCGACGGCTACTCAAGAAGCAGGCCAAGGAGGATGCCAGCAAGGCTCTAGGGGCCTCTGCTCCCAAGGCTAAGTTGTAATAGATATTGTATATAACGAACATTGAGAAACATGGGAACACCTATCATGTCAATCGTAGTTCCTGCTTTATAGCAGCAACCCTGTAAGCTGCGCAATCACGGGAAGAAGCGCTTCACCATGCCATCAACATCCTCCCCGTCAACCGCGTCCACTTTCTCCCGCGCTACTCGTTCAACAGCCTCCTCTATCGGCTCCTCCCCATTCAACAAATCGTACCAACCCTCCGTATCCGCCCTAGCCAGCAGTTGATCCGCCACCCTCGCGACATCCTCCCTCGTCACATTTCCCACGCCCCTCGTCTTCCCCAGCGCCACCCGTCCCGTCGCAGGCTCATCAGTCAACGTCCCCGGCCGCAGACAGATAGCCTGCAACTTCGGCCCGCCGCACTGCTTGCGCCGCGCCGCCAACGCAGTCATGTACTCGTCCGCCTCCAGCTTGGCCTTGGCATACACAGGAAGAATATTATTAAACACATTTTGAATACTTGCCCAATCCTCATCTGACATCCAGCTAGGATGGACCCGTCGACTACCCAGCCACGAGACGAGCAGGAACTTGGTGACGCGGGGCGAGTCGAACGACGCAGCAAGGAAGTGCTTTGCGGCTCGTTCGTCGATGGCAAAGGTTCGCTCGGGCCCGCCTTTGCCTCCGGCTCCTGTTATTTATTTGGTCCGTCAATCAACTGCCGCGGTATGGACATGGCAATAGGATGGGTAACATACCGGCCGACCAAACTACATAATCCGGGGACACGGCGTCGATGATCTTCTTCGCGTCGGCGTCGCTTTTTACGTCCTCCAGGCTGGATAGGAGAACGGAGAGTTTGCCTCTTGCGCCTTTGCCCAGGGCGAGGATTGCGTTCTCGTGCTCGGGGTTGCGGATGACGCTGGTGACGTTCCAGGCACGGGCGAGGAGGAGCGGGGTTAGTTTCTGGGCTACCTTGCCGTGGCCGCCGAGGAGAAGGACTTGCATTGTGTAAGGGGTATTGGTGGGGTTATTGATATTTACTTCTGAACGGGTTTGTAAACTAGGGGATGATTATTTGGAGCTGATGGTATAGAGAAGACGGTGCGATGTGGGTTGATGAATATGGTGGTTGTTCCATTGCGTCATGGACTTGGCACTGGTCGATTGTTATGAGCTGGGGCTTTATTGCTTGCAGGTTGATATACCCCTGGACTTCATCGCATCAAGATGGATAGCTCAATTAGCATCAGAAATTGTCGAAGAAACAACACTTCGCCGCTCGTTGGTGTACAGATCCTCCAAGTGGACTTCCCGTGGACCCTTAGATACGGAGCTATATATCCGTGGTAGCAGCTGCCTTAAGGCAATCCGTCACCATCGACAGCTCAGCGGAGTAAGAGTATCAGCAATCTCCATCTAGATTGGCAATTTTCATTATCCAGCAAGGGATCTGTTTATTCAAAGAAAATGGATATAACTAGTCAGTATAGCTACTCATCCATGAGAATGGCAAATGCATGAAAGTCTCAGAAACCCTTTATTGAAGATTCGACCTCCTTCGAATATCCACACCGAACATCCCCAGTTTTCGCTTCGGGCTGACAAGGCAACAGATCCTAATTAAACCGCATTGAATGTCTTACTTTAAGTGTACTGGTGACGTAGGGCAGAAGGAGTCAATGACAAAAGTATACATCCAGTGATCATGATTGCTTGGCGGGCTACCTCAGAAGTAGGACTCTTACGATGAAACTACGCCTCTAAAATGGGTTGAAACTTGACGTCTGGATATTGAATCGCTCGTGTCATGTATAAAGCTTGGTTGGTGACTAGAAGACAGCTTT